GCCATGAGGTTGGAGGCCATCGCAAAAAAGGTTGCAGGCCTAACAAGCAATACGAACTTCATAGAGGTAGGGGTAGCAGCACTGATTGTTTTACTAGGTTCTTTCAACGGGTTTTTGGATTGGACGCGCTTACCATCTGGGATTGTCGAGGTGGCCCATCGGACAGTCACCGAACACCGGGCCTTGTCGCTGCCAACCTTCTCCTTTGCATCTCACCGCATGGGAAACTATCCAGAGATCGGAGGGCATCATGTTGGGATTATGTTGCTCATGTTGCTTGAAACATTCAAACTACCTCAGTCTGAGTCGTGTTGGCACCCCAAATTGTTGGGTTCTTCACATCCTTACCCTACAGGTCCTGCTTGACTGTCCAGTAAGAGTCGTGGCTTTGTTTCATCAAGTCCAGTTTTGCATGGGGGTCAGTTCCTGTAAGATTTCCAGCGTGAAGTCGTCATTGCCACCTGTGTGGAGTGTGCACCATCCCGCGGACTGCCCATGCTCTTATCACCTAGACACGACCTGTCTGGGACTGCCATAGGACTGCATGCCACCCCAGCCTGACCTCCAGTCAACCACCCCGAACGCCCGTTTTGAAGGCAGTACGGCATGGCAATGCCAGACAGGTCGTGTCTGGGTCATATCATTCCCAGAGACGACTAATGGGACTGCCAGTCCGGACTGCCGATCAGTTGGGGTGGTTGACTGGGGGTCAATGGATCGGCAGTCCGTCCTGGCAGTCCCATTAGTCGTGTCATATCATTTGCCGTCCAACTGTCCCATGACCGTCGGGTGTTTTCCATCCAAACACCGTGCCCTTCGAGACGGTCGTCGGTCCGATCGTCGACCCGGTGGACTTCCAGAGAGACTGGCCTTGAGGCAAGATCACTGAGGTAAACAGTGGAAAGCAGTCCACCTTCTTTGTTTACCACTGTTTCGTAGGCCATGGCCTCCAACCTGGAAGCAATGGCCTCCAACATCAGATTGTTCGCAGGATTTCGCAGTGGTTCCAGTTCTAAAACCACTGACCAAAGGCTGCGTCCTATAGTTCCTTCCTACTTGTGGCTGCCTGCGTGTGTTTTTTGTGGGAGAGTGTTGGTTTGATGAATCTTCCTCCAGCACCTTATATTATATTTGAGAGTCTCCCAAGAGACAACCCGACAGGCCCTACCACGGATAGTGGATCTCGATGTTTTCACCTCAACATGAAGGTCCAGGTACCTTTGGATGTCAGTGTAGAGAGTGAGAGTGCGAGTGAGTGTGAGAGTGAGTGAGTGTGAGTGAGAGGAGTGAGTGAGAGTGAGTCCGAATGAGGGAGAGTGAGTGTTTCATCGAAATTGACAGTCAGAGGGAGAGGGCCCTCAAGAGAGGGGACGCCAATGGCCAATTTGCCAATGCGGTGAATGCGGTGAATGCATGCAGAGAAGTGTCCTCGCTGGAAAGACCACGCACTTATGGAGTAGTTCTATGCCTAGGTCACCGAGGACGTACACAGCCAGGGGACCCTGGTCTGTTGGTATGTCATGTGTTCGATGACCTGGGCATCAATTCAAAGCCGCCACAAAGTTGGCGGAAGATGACAGGAATCTTCCTCCTGACTGCACTACTTGCCCTTGATGATCATTTGCGGTTATAGGAGGATATACATGTGGCATCGTGTGGCTAAAGGTCTCCATCTCCTTGCACGCCTTTTTCGTCGGAATCCATGCTTGCTAAGCCGCCAACCAATAAGCTTCTACATTGGCAAGAGCTGAGCTGTTGGGGCGGTGCCATTGGGTTCGCGTTCACGTAAGAAGGTTCTTTTTGAGGCAGTGTCTATTGGAGTCTATGGCACAACCCCCCTGCATGTCTTTCAGATGGGAGCTCATATATAAACCACCTTTTGGTGGATTGTGCCATCTCTGCATCCACTATACCTGGACCCGACGATAAACAGGTCTCCGACATGGTGGCTTTTGACTTCAAAGTCGCAGGTGACCTGTGAAGTCGGGTGCGAGGTTGCTGGTTATTGGGTCTTTGGACTCGAGTCCGAGTCCTTCCGAGTCCTTCCTGCTAGGGTTTTCTCAGCCCCAACTGGTGCGAGGCCTGAACTGCTTGTTGGTTCCTGTTCAACTCGACCTGATCAGGTCGAGTTGACCTAAGAATTCCGGTCCCCCCGAACCCAATTTGGGGCTTGCTTTCGGGCCGATATGACCCTCTTCCGGTGTCGCGTCCGGGTCGCCTGTGAGGCCCGAGCTCGCTCGGAGTCTTAGGATTACCACCTACATGGAGCCCGAACACGGAGCCCATGCATATCACCTACAACGAAGTAAAGGCTGCAGAGAGTCTATTGTTTGGACATGGGGCTCGGATTTTCTCTAGAGAGACTAGAGGCCACTTCCAATCCCAGCATTCGTTCGCTCTTTCCGTGCCGCCGTCGAAACCAGCATCTATAAACTGCACCACCGAGGTCGGGTGGTGCTTTTCCACATAGCCCCCATCCATCTTAGTCCTTCCGTCCTTCCGTCCTATCAACGCTGGGGGGGGGGGGTCCTTTCAGGGGTATGCACTTTGTAATATATGGCCCTGTAGCAGATTCAGGATATTCAGGGGATGAGGCCCAGGGGCGGTCAGGGAGGTGTCCTGAATGGGCATTCCTGGGAGTGCCTGGAGTGTTTGAAGGAGGCACTGGGGGTTTCCCCCAGTGCAACCAGGTACGCAAGTGGTTCTTCCAACCCAAATGGCCATTGAGATCCATAAAGTCACTCTTGGCGCTCAAGCACGTTACTGTGTTGTTTCTGAGAAGTGTCTAGGTTTCCTGGTTGCTGATGTCGGTTTCTGTGCTCCATGTGGCAAAGTCCACCACTCGGAATGGAGCTGCACAGGAACGGAGCGATGATTTGTGCTCGTGCAAAAGTGAGGGAATTCCCAGATAAGTTGGCTCCGTCCGAACCGACCTGTAATTAACAGTCAGTCAACAAGCAGCTTCTTTTCTCATTTTTGAACAAGGCCTGCTGCAACTGAACCATCATCTTCCACTGTTACAGGTAATAGGATAGACCCAAGGAATAAGTCTATTGCCCGGGTGTGGTCCACCTGAAACAAGCTGAGTCGACCAATGTGAAACAAGCTGAGTCTGTTCCCAGCGTTTGTTCGGCCAGGTGATGATTTACTGTTAATATATGTTAGTCACCCAGAGGCTCCGTGAAAACAGCCCAACTGGTCACTGGATGAACCCGGATCAACCCGGTTATTAGATCAAATATGATCAATTTGAAACATCTACCAGGAGTCACAAGACGGGGTGCTTATTTCAGGTTGGAGGTTAGGGGTGCCCATTATCCACTCACTGGATTGGACCAAACACCACCCCTGTGTGACTCCTGGTAAAAACCTTAAAATTGATTGACCTGGTGAGAATCCGGACCCTAAGCAAAACAGAGGCTGCCACCTGGTTGAACATTGCACAATGAAGTGGGTGTGGGTGTTTTTCCTCTACACCTCCTGTCCCATATACTCAGAAGATGGGCACAGACCCCAAACCCACCGAAGACGCACCGAACCGAAACGGAGGTAGAAACGGAGGCGGGCAAAGGAAGGGAGATCCACCCACGAGGTGAAAGGCCAGAAACGTTTTGGTTGATTCCTTTGCTAGTAATTACAAGTGCCTCGCTAGTAGTAACAAGTGCCTTACTAGTAGTAAAAATGTTTGCTATTTAAATTCAATTCTGATAGCTTCTTGTTACTAGTAGTAAGGCACTTGTTACTACCAGTAAGGCACTTGTTACTAGTAGCTTCCTACCCCCCCTGAAATCATACACCTTTGGGTGGTGACCTACAAATGTGTTGGGGGACACAGATTTCTTGTCGCGTACTTGGACTTGGATGTACTTGGCTTTTTGGGGTAGCAGTGCTGTAGCAGTGATGTCAATTGTTATAGGGGTCGTTCACTTGGCACCCCAAATTGTTGGGTTCTTCTAGTCCTTACCCCACAGGTCCAGTTTAACTGTCCATGACCATGACCCCATGACTCCCGGTGAAACCTCAGTATACGAGTCGTGGCTTTGTATATGATCAACTTCAGTAGAATGAGGTGAGTTCCTGACCTCTTGGGATCTATAAGAGGTCGTTTTTCAGAGGTCTTTTTGGCCATAAAACGACTGGATATAAGGACCAAATGGTCGACCTTTGGCAGGTATCAGTTGGTGCGAGGGACTAAATCCTACGAACTCTTTCACTTCTGTGAAATGGTGCGAAATGGTTCTTGCAGCCAAGTGTTCCAGGCGGTAGAAACATGTATATAATGTAGAGGAAAGAACTCACCATGTAGCGATGGCCTCCACCCTAGTAGCGAAGGCCTCCACCCTAGTAGCGAAGGCCTCCACCCTAGTAGCGATGTGGAGGGACATCCATTAACATCCGATCATGTGAAGGTTCCTGTGGATTCTTCCCACCGACCAAAAACCGAATATACGTGATACCCATTGCATGCTTTTGTTCCATCCTCTGAGGCCTTCATGCGGCGCTATGCAGCACCCCAGGCGCGTGTTTTTTTTCCGTTCCAGAGGTGTACGGGGGTCGGACTGAACAAGCTGTCCTGCGAGGTGCCTCAAAACCACAAAGACCAACTTGCAACCACAAAGGATTAAGTCAAGGCGCTGAAGTCATTGATTTCTACCATGTCACCTTCAATCAAATCCAAGATTCATCTACCAGCACCTTCAAAGGGGTCACCAATGGAAGCCCCTACACCACTAAGGGACCTCCATTGGACACCCCGAAAGAAGGTCCAGGTATGTTTCACGGTCTTTGGAGCCTTGGCCGCTTGTAGTCTGTTCTATCACCGGGATTAGCCAGGTGGTTCTTCATACATCATACGTGCGTGGAACCACTCCAAAAAACTCAGCACCACGCACCACGTGTCCTGGGAAGTGTAGGTGTAGTACTAGTATTTAGATGA